ATTTGAGCTACTGCTTGATTAAAAAAAAAAAAAAGAAAGAAAAAGATTTCTTAACAGTCAAAGTCAAAGTAGGTTTCCTACCCAGCACCAAGTTAATTTGGGGGCTCCCGTGCTGTGAAGTCTCGAAGAGTGCATGAACTCCAGTGTCAATGCAAAATAAAAGATATTGGGAATACACATTCAAATCGCCTCTCAGCTAAAGGGGGTCCTTCGCCAAAACCAGCTTTTTCCCCCCCCCAAAAGGGGGGTGTACGTGGTGTTGGGGTAAGAGGGGGGGTGGGGGAGAGAAAGAAAACCAACAATTTCTCCAGCGTAAAAATGAAACATCAAATTAGTTTGCCTCTGGGCTTCATTTTTCCCCTTCTACATTATAACTAGTTATTGAACTAGCTAGAAGATCTAAAGGCCATTTGAGAGGAGACAAATTTCAATGGAGTTCCCCCATCAATAACTCCTTGGCAGTGACCTATTGGATGAAGTCAAACAGTTGAGGTGAAATTCAGGTCACGCTGTCTAACCAATATTAAAATGCACCCACTTTTTAAAAAGCCACTTTCAACGAGATTTGAAGAAAATTGAATTCCTAGGTGGGGTGGGGAGGGGAGGGGGGGGAAGTTAGCAAGATGGAGCAAACGCTTTGCATATATATATGTATGTATTTTTTTGCAAACAAACAAGAAAGATTCATCTTTAATATTTTAAGAAGAAGGGATAAATATTTACATTATTCGTTTGCGGAGACTAAAGAGGTTCGAAAGAAAAATGCGAAGGCTAGTACTTCTGGTGACATGCTCGGGTTATTAAAATCGTTTTAGGCCGATTCATTACTTTTACTGACAACAGATTTAAGGAAAAATCAATTAGACATTTGCATATTTCTTTGCATAAATTAGACCTGTCTATTTGCATTATGGAGGAACAAAAAAAAGAAAAAAAAAAAGAAAAAAGAAAAAAAGAAAGAAAAGGTCTCTTTTGCACTTTCTGCTTTCAAGTTGTTAGAAAAATTAAGGTTGAATTAATTGCATGCCATTGCCTATGTGGTAGGGAATGCAACTAAATGTATATCTCCCCCCCTTGCAACAAACTGTCCTTGCAGCCTCCCACCCACCCACCTCCTAACCCCAGAACTAATGTAACTATAATCATCACCTTAAAACAAACTCCTCAATGCGTGGACTAAAAACTCCCATCCAAAATGAATTTCCTCCCTATGAATCTCAAGAAGAGGTAGTTCATACAGCGTGAGGCTATGCTGTTGTTTTATTATTATTATTAAACATTGAGTAACAAAACCCCAGTGGATAGGTACTTCATTTTTCTAGGATGCACAGATTGCTAATGGCTTGAGGTACAGGTTACCAAGCGGTCAGTATGGTAATAGCTAACACAATGAATCCAGAGGGACAATGGACACTTATTTTTCTTCAGTACTGTCAGAAAGGCGCTTTGTACTTAAAAATGTTCCCGGACTGGTAACCAGATATATATTTTGCAACCTGAATCCTGGGTAGAGAAGGGAAATAAAGACCAGAAATTATTTTTTCGAGGTGCTATATTTCTCTTCGATGTTGTCAGTCCAAAACTGTTTGTCGACGTTGTTGTGCTGGTGGGGGGAATTGAAGCGATGGAGGGAGAGAGAGAGAGAGGGGGTGGGAGGCAGGGTGGTGAGACAAAAGAGCCAGATTCTCGTCCAACTATTCTTCACACGTCCTTGCAGACTTATTTTATGGAGACAAAAAAAAAAAAAAATCTTCCGAACACCCGAGCAAAAATAAAACCAAAAAACCCCAAGCCCCTCAAAACCCTGTGGAAAAAGGGGAACAAATAAAATAAAATGAAAAATCAATGGAGTGAGGGAAAAAAATAATTTAAAAATATTAAAATTGGGGTTCTGCCCAGAAAAGGCATCCAAGCAGCTAAAGGAATGGGAAGAAATGACCTGAGATTGGCAAGAAAAGCAGTCATTTTAAAGAAGAAATTACACACACATATTTATATATTATATATAGACACACACACAGACACCTATATATACATATATATAAGTGTGTGTGTAGAGATATATATATATATATATTTGTGATGAAGCCAGGGAGCTGCAAGAATAGCAGGTCTTTGCATTTCTCCCTCTGCCATCTGGAACAGGGAACCAAAGAGGTTGAAGCCTTCAGCTTGTAGGTCTATAACTGATGGGCAGAAATATGTTTGGGTGACCTTCACGCCTGGATTTTTTTGAATGCCTTATTTGTTGGTTTTTACCAGGAGCCACCTAGCATATTCTTAAGAGAACTACCTGTAGATATTTCTTTATTCTTCTTCTCTGAGGCTTGCTGAGATTCAGGCATTGAAAAAAGAAAACAGAGAGAGAGAGAGAGACGAATAGGTAAAATTACTTTATTAACTTCTCCATCTTTATTCAATATTGCCTCAGCCTTGGAATAAAGTTAGGGCATCAGAATGAACTATAAATGTCAGAGTCCTCTATGAGGCTAAAGTATTCGGGCAGAATGAGGTATAGGTGGTGAAAAGGAATTTATCGGATATATTGAAATCAATGTTTTGGCTACCAGCATATATTTCCATTAATGCCTTGTGCATACTCTTTGGTCCTCCCTGTTCATTTTCTTTAGAGAGCTAAAATATACAGAGAGATCCTGCTTGCTTAAGGTAAAGAGATGCACAATATATATATATATATATATAGAGAGAGAGAGAGAGAGAGAGAGAGAGAGAGATGTCTTCTTTATTAAAGTTATATATATATATATATATATATATACACACACACACATACATATATAT